TTTAGGAAGTGATTAGATGATGAGGGCTCTAACTTCACCAGAGGATTCATCCACTGATGAGATCATAATTTGATGGCATTATTAGAAGTGATAGAAATAGGAGGTGGACCTAGTTGAAATGGTGAATCATGAGAGCGTGACCTTGGAGACAACATCTGGTCCTTGGATCCTTTCTCTTGGGCTCTTTCCTTCTCTCTCTGCTTCCTGGCCACCATGAGGAGAGCAGCTTTCCTCAACCACACCTTGCTGCCATGATGTTTCTGCCTTATCACAGACCTAAAAGCAATGGACCCAGCTGCCCATGGACTGAACCCTCTGTAACCATGACCTAACATAAATATTTCCTCTTCTTAAGGTGGTATTCTAAAGTACTTTAACACAGAAACAAAGTTAACAGAGAGGTGAAGAAGACATCTTGAGGGAGAGGGTCACAGAAGGGTACACAGCAGCAGCTCTGCTTAGGTTTTCAGAATCAAAAGATATTCATATAGAGGTTGGGGGACAAATACCATACTAGGACAGTGTCAGAGTCTGAGCAGATGAGGACATCCAAGATCAAATAAACATTAACACAATTAAAATGGGGAACCTCAGTACACCACTGTCAAAAACAGATTAACTACATAAAATCTCAACAAAAAAATAGGACAGCTAAACCAAACCTTCAAACAAATGGACTTAATTTATATCTACAGATTGTTTCGCCCAATAAGAACAGAATACACGTTTTCCTCAGTAGCACATGGGACTTTCTCCAAAATAGATGACATACTAGCCAATAAAGTAAGTACAAAAGAATCAAAATTATTGTACATATTATCAGATCACAGTGCTATGACACTAAAAATCAATGGCAAAAGAAGCCACAGAAATTATACAAATGCATGGAAATTAACAATACACCAGGTCAAAAAACATACCAGAATTTATAGGTCACAGTGAGAGCAGGCCTAAGACGGATGCTTACAGCTGTGAATGCACACATCAAAAAAAAAAACAGAGAGAAAGCCCAAATTAGTAACATCATGATGTACCTCAAGGTCCTAGAAAAACAAGAACAATCCAAATCCAAAGCTACAACAAGGAAAGAAATTATTAAGGTCAGAGCAAAAATTAATGAAATTGAGACTTAAAAAAAACATAGAAAGAATTAATAAATCAAAGAGCTTGCTCTGTATAAGTAAAATATATAAACATCTAGCAAATCTTACCAAAAAAAGCAAAGACTCAAATAATGCAGTTTGAAATGAAAAAAGTAAAATCACAAGGCACACTGTCTAAATTCAGAAGATTGTTAGCAACTACATTGAAAATCTGTACTCCAAAAAATTGGAAAATTCAGAAGAAATGGACAGATTCCTAGATACATATGAACTGTCAAAACTGAACTAAGAAGATATAAAAACTTTAAGTAATACAATAACAGGCAGTGAAATTGAAATAGGAATAAAAAAAAATCTACCAACTAAGAAAAGGTCAGATACCACTGGATTCACTGCTGAATTCTACAAGAACTTCAGGGAAGATCTAGCATCAGTACTCCCCAAACTTGTTATTAAAATTAAAAGGAAGGAGCTCTCCCAAAGTCATTCCTGGAAGTTACCATTAACCTGATTCCAAAACCAGAAAATGATCCAACTGAAAAAGACAACCAGAGACCAATCTCTTTAATGAACATAGACACAAAAATCCTCAACAAGATACTGTCAAATAGATGAAAAAAATGACTAAAAAGGTTATACATCATGATCAAGTAAGCTTCATTCCAGGGAAGCAAGGATGGTTCAAGATACACAAATCAATAAATGTAATACATCACATAAAAAGAACAAGGGCAAAAATCACATGATCATTTCAATAGATGCAGAAAAAAACCTTTGACAAAATCTAACATCCATTCAGGATTTTTAAAAACCTTGGAGAAAAGAGGTAGAGAGGACTTTATCTCAATCCAATAAAAGTCATTCATGAGAAACCTATTGCTGATATCATATAAAATCAGGAAAAACTGAAAGTATTCTCTATAAAAACAGGAACAAAACAAGGATGTCCACTATCATCATCCCTCTTCAAAATATTAACCAGAGCAATCAGACAAGAGAAAGAAATAAAAGAGACATGTATAGGAAAGGAAGAAGTTAAACCATCGTTATTCACTGATGATGTGATCCTTTACAGAGAAGACCCAAAATATTCTATCAAAAGATGCCTAAAATTAATAATTAATTCCAGCAATGTAGCAGATTACCAAATCAACACATAAAAATCAATAGTATTCCTGTACTCCAAGGATGAACTCAGGAAGAAATTAGTAAAACAATATCACTCACAATTTGAAAAAATTAAATACTTCCAAATTAACCTAGCCTACAAGAAAATGAAAGACCTCTACAAAATCTACAGTATTCTCAAAAAAGAAATCAAGGAAGACATCAGAAAATGGAAAGATATCTCCTGTTCCTAAATAGGTCAAAATGGCCATACTTTCAAAACTAATATACAGATTTAATGCAGTTCCAATCAAAATACCAACAACAGTCCTCATAGAACTTGAAAAAAGAATCCTAAAATTTACATGGAACCAGAAAAGATCCAGAATAGCAAAAGCCATCCTAGGAAACAAGAGCAAAGCAGGATGCATCACAATCCTGAATTTCAAGTTATATTATAAAGTGATACAATATTAAAAACAACATGGTACCAGCATTAAAACAGACATATGGATCAATGGAATAAAACAGAGGATTCAGAAATACCCCAGGCCTATTCAGCTACCTGATTTTTGACAAAAGAAGACAAAAACATATACTGAAAGAAAGATGGCTGGGAAAACTGGCTATCTACATGCAGAAGACTGAATCAAGACCCATATCTCTCACTATGCACTAAACTAAAATCAAAATGGATGAAAGATCTAAATGTTAAAACAGAAATACTCAGTCTGCTGTAAGATAAAATAGGTAAAACTCTACAAGACAAGCATAGGGAAGGACTTTCTGAACAGAATCCCAATTGCACAGGGAATAATACCAAGAATCAACAAATGAAACCATATGAAATTTAAAAGCTTCTAAACAGCAAAGGAAACATCCAACATTGAAGAGATAATCTAGAGAATAGGAAAAAATATTTCCCAGCTAATCCTCAAACAAAGGACTAATATCTAGAACATATAAATAAATCAAGAAAATAATAAAAGTAAGCCTAATCAAAAAATAGACTACTAAAATGAATAGACACTTCTCAGAAGAAGTACAAATGGCCAATAAATACATGAAAAAGCATTCAACCTTTCTGGCCATTAGAGGAATGTAAAATCAAACAACACTGAGATTCCATCTACTTCAGATAGAACGGCTACCACCAAGAAATCAAGTACTAACAAATGCTGAAGAGGCTGCATGGAAAAAGGAACTCTTCTACATAGTTGGTGGGAATGTAAACTAGTACAACCACTATAGAATCAGTATGGAGATTCCTCAAAAAACTAGGAAACTAGAAATTCTGTTTGACCCATTCTCCTTCTAAGTATCTTCCCAAAAGAGTTAAAGATATCATATTACAGTGACAAATACATACTCATATTTAGAGTAGCATAATTCAAATAGTTAAATCTTAGAAGTGGCCTATATGTTCATCAGCAGATGAATGGATAAAGAAAATGTGGCATTTATACACAATGGAGTACTAACTACTCTGCCATAAAGAATAAACTTAAGTCATTTGTAGGAAAATGGATGCACTTTGAGACCATAATGTTAAGTGAAGTAAATCACAAGCTTAAATATCACTTCATTACTCTTATATGAGAATCCCAAAATATAAATAAAGAGAAAAATAAAAGATAGATAATAGAAAATAGGGAGATTTATCCTATTTAGCAAATAGGATAGAGACCAAGAGATAGAGGGATGGGAAAAACAGGAGAGGGGAAGGGGACAAAAAAAAAAAAGAATTAAGATATGTTAGGTACATACCAACTTCCCATAAGGAATGTAGCAGTCATTACGTACTACAAGCATGTACTAATAAAAAATAAAAATTGAAAAAAACCTCCAGCTTGTTAGAAGGAAAAAGCAACTTGTTTAGCAAGTTATAGTATGATGTCACTTACATAAAACTTAAAACCCTTAGCACAGTACTCTGTATTATTAATGGAAAAAGAATATTTAGAAAAAATATAAAAGCCAGGACTGGAGCTTGTGATTACCTCTGAGGAAATAAAAAGGATAATCAGATTGGGAAAGGATTTACTATAAAGAATACTTTAACTTTATCTCATTTTATTTCTTTAATGAAAATAAATAAGATAAATATGAAAAAAAGGGAAAATTAAGTCTATATGGAGAGTACATAGATATGTGTCATTTTCTTTAAGCTTATACTTTATAATATTTTATACTTTTTAAAAAGTATTTTAAATACCTTATAATTTATATTTTACAATCCAAAAATAAAAGTTTTTTAATTACCCAAGAATATATTTCATTGACCATGAAAAGTTCCCTCCCCACACACAAATCTTTGCATCAACACTACAAATGGAGTTGAACTTCCTCCATCTTTTGCTAAATACCACTTTGTATTTGTAATACCACATGCTCTATATTTTTTAAGGATTAAAGAGTCATTCACAGAGAAGAAATATCAATAGCAGTTAAGATTATATAGAAAAAGTAAAAAGGAACTAGCCATAAAGATCAAGAAGAGTCCAAGTGGCATAAAATTGAAAAGAAGTTTTCAAAGGTCAGTCAAATACCCAAAAAAACATTCTTAGGATTGAGTAAGAAGTCAAAGGTATCACTGTCAAAATTTTTTTAAATGGGTGTGGAAAAAGTCTCTATATTCTTGAATTTTAATTTGGGAGGACTTAGCGAATTCAACACAAGTCACATTTCAACAGTATGATTTATTGCTAAGACTATAATAAATATCAAAGTTTTGCCCCAACAGTCAAAACTGTAATTGTTAATATCCAACAATATCCTATAGCAACATACCTGAAGAAGGAGCCTTTCAAATGCCAGAAAATTATCCCACTTGGCAGTCTGCGGGTGTTTCAAAGTTTGAACTGTGGCCAGCCCAAGCTGGAGGATCCCACAATGATTCCTTAGAGCTTTGAGGTTGTTCTTGAAGAGCTGAATATAGGATGTGAGCTGCCCTGGAGTGACTCTCCCTAGAGAAACATAATAATTAATCAGTGTATCCTCTTCTGAGAAGAGTAAGAATTATGAGGATGCCATGAATAATACCACTGTCTTGTATTTGCACAGAACTTCAGCACAGAACTTGTATTTGCAAGCTTTCCTAAGCTATTATTATTCGAACAACATAACGATAACAGCAAAGCTGATATTATTACCTGCATTTTGTAAGTAAGGAAGCAGATATTATGGAATCTGACCAAGGTAATATTACTAATTTACTTTATAATTCCATAACACCCGAAAAAACTTCAAAGTCACACAAATAAATAATTCTTGAGCTCCACTTGGTGTATCTCTGGGAAACCAAGAAACAAAAAGCTAAGATTTCTAAATATATGGAAAAATCTGTTATAATTAGAGCTAAAACTTTATCACTGATATCAATGGGCTCATAATATTCATGAGGATAAAAGGTGTCTGTTACATGGAACAAAAAAGTACAGAAAACTAGGGTGTCAAAACATTGGGAAATAGGATGTAAGAAGAAAGGTTTTGGCATGGCACAGAACATGATACAATGGTCCCCTAGATCTAGAACAAGAGAACCCAGCTCACAAAAGGCTAGATATTATACAAAACACACACACACAGACACACACACACACACACACACATAATTTATTGATCTACTCCTGTGGAGCCTCCAAGTCCAACTTCTATTTGTAACAGTCCTGTGACTGATTCTCCTCCCATTCACCAAACTGTTAAATTTCATGCCTTTCAGTGTTTTGCACAAGACTCCTAAGCAGCAAATTCTCCCCATTGGGCAAAAAGAAGGCAATGGGGAAAACATAGCTACAACTTAAGTAAACCATTTTTACACTTCTCACATATGTCCTATTTGTGGATCATTCTCTGACGCCGAAATTCAAATTCATTCATTTGTTATTACATTTAATTTTTACTACTGGCAGTGAATCCATATATATTTATTTAGCACTTTATGCCTGACACAGTGATTATGCATATATGCGCACTTCTGAGTCTTATGATAACATTAAGAGATAGCCAAAAAGGCATGTGCTGTACCTGTAAGCACGGTCAGTTTAATGTCTTATGCAAAATTAAAAAGCAGGTATTGCTTAATAAATAGTTTTTGCTAAAGATTATACACACACAAAAATAAATACCTTGCCATAAGAAACTTAAAAGCCTGTAGCATATCTTTCTATATTTTCATTAATTTTTTGAAGAGATTAAAAATTTCAATGTTCCTTATTGCCAATTGATCAGGGTAAGTAAGCATTTGAAGAAAAAGATTAGTATGAATGATAAGTAGGGAGGTTAGTCTCACTGGTTTCTTTGCTTCCTTGCCAAAACATGGGCTCATTCCTCATTTGCAAAGCAGCAAGCTATGGCCCTTTATACAGTACTGTATATCATTTTCTTACACACACATGCAACTAACACTTCATTAGATACGTTGTGAAAGCACAATTTTTTTCCCTAAAAATCCATAACATGCTGAGACTTAGCTAAAAAAAAGTACTTCATGAAGATGCTTTAAAATATAGACTTCTGACATTCTCAAAATTTAAATTTTATCACAACCTTACAAAAAAATCAAATGGAAACCAATTAAATGAAAACTAAAAGATGCCTTAGTGGGATTCATGATTTGAAAAAAAGCTTCTTACTTCACATTAACTAAGCAACAAGCAACTAGAAACAGACATTGAAAAAGTAATGGGTAGAACATTTACCCATACCTCACTTAAAAAAAAAATACATTTGTCAGGCAGCTTTAAACAGTAATTTAAAAATGTCACCCCAGAAGGCTTTGCAACACACTTTTTAGAACCACAAAACAAAGATTATTTTATATTGACTGCATAAAAACCACATCTTTTAGAATGACAATTTGACATTTGAAAAGTGGTTATTTCAGCTAAGAAATGCTATTACATTTTATATGTTTCTTCTTTTTAAAGAAAGAAAAACAGGCACCATATTTCAATTTACCTTAGAGAAAAATAAAGCTTTATCAGCCACCAATTCTACTTTTTTATTAGTACATATTTGTAAAACATAATGTTTATATTCTTTGTGGGGAATTAGTACATGTACATAATACATCTTAATTCCTTTTTTTATCCTCTTTCCCTTCCCTCTTTCTCCTGCCTCCACCTCTTGATCCCCTTCCCCTTTGAGAAAGATCTATCTCCCTAATTCCTATTATCTATCTGTTATTTTGATCTTTATTTATATTTTGGGTTTCTCACATTAGTGAAACCATGCAATATTTAAGCTTGAATATCTGATTTCTTTCACTTAACATTAAGATAAGTTTTTAAAAACTCATTTCAATATAATTAGCTTTTGGCCAAAAGGGTACAAATTTGGAAAATAAAAGGATATTTAACATTTTATTTTAATATTCTCTGTAACCCTTAAAATATTGATTCAATTAAATTCAAATGCTATATTAATTCTATTCTCATTTCCACATACACAACAAATTATGGCTTGCTCAACCTGTTTTGTGGCTTAGTAAAATATTTTTAAAATATCTACATATATCTAATTCTTCACTGGCATTCTTAAATAATATTTTATCAGTGCCATGCTTGATTTAATCTTATAGCTATCATGAGGGGAGAGGGCCACTACCAACAGAAATTCTGTCCAAACTAATATGTTTTGCTATTTAAAAAAAAAACAAACTTCTTGACATAAGAAGTAGCCATATCATTGCATGTTTCTTATTCAACAGATTCCTGCAAACATGAATGATTATGTGATGTGTGGAACTGGAATAAGTAGACTTATTTATATGTTTTATATGACTTTCAGTCCCGAAAATCAATATCAGCATTTAATTTTCCTTCTTTTCAGCCATTTTCTACCATGATAAAAGCAAAGTATACTGAAACATTTAAATATAATATGTTCTGCTAAGACTCTGATTTACTATTTTATACATAATTGGCAAACAGGAATAATGTTAATAAGGCACTGTTCACTTGTGATTTTTTGAAGCTGCTGAGCACAAAGCAAATGAACACAGCTGAATACCACAGCCACAGAAAGAACTGCATAGTTCAAGAAGCACCCATAACTCCCAGCTCTTCCTCTTGGCTCTGCTGGCACAAAGCCCTATCTTACAAGTACTTCCTGTTCATCCTGATCTTTGATGCATATTGCCTTTTGCCTCCATAACAAAACAACCTAAACTCCTCTCATACCAACTTCCAAGGAGCTACTTTCAACTCTTTTGTTCACATCAAGTGAACATTTGGTGTAACAGCTATGTATGTCTTTTTAACTGTGTTAGCATTTCTTATCAACATTCCATTGTTCTTGTCAATGCTCTGATGATAAGGTTGCATAGACTTTTGGAAGGGCTGCCATTGATTGTTAACTTTTTTCACCAGGAGCCCTGATATTGGCATATAATTGTGGAAAACACAAATTTTTCAGGAATGCATTTAAATAACTCCTACCAATAAACAAAGAGGCAATGTTACTAAAATTAAACTACTTTCTGGTAGACAGCACCATCAGAGAAAGCTTGGAGTGTCAGTTCAATAGCTAACATAAAAGAGCCAGAATTTTGGGTATGAAGGATGGTTTGGGAGTTTTGTAAATAATGTACAAAAGCCTCAAGAAGCTACCTGAGCATAAGTGTTTATATCCACTTGCCTGGAGATTCTGCAAGAATGATAAAAAGCAAGAAAAGGGGGTAGGAACACACCAACAAAGAGATTATGACATAGTCTCTAAGCAAGCAAAAGAGTTCAGCATCTTTTTTCCTCATCTGCTGGTTATTTTTGTAATTTACATTATATGCTTAAGCTTTCTTTTTTTGGTATCAACTATAGAAGGTATCATAGGGCTGTTCAAGATCGAGGAAGAGGATATTTAGTGTCAGGTAAAAGGCCCAAGACCAAGACCAGACCAGGCCACAACAAGCCTTTATTAAGGGAATAGATCTGCTGGGCTGTCTCTGAACAAAGGAGAGACAAAAGCAATATGGCCAGGACAGCAAGTGCCTTTTATAGGGGCTTGTAGGAGCTGAGGTGGGGTTGAGTGAGGTAGTGGCTAGGGACTGGAGGAGCCTGTGATGTCACTAGTTGCTAGGAGGAAAGCAAATATTAAGTTACTTTTTTGGTGGAAGTAAGGGTGTGTTGGAAAGAAGGTAGCTGTTATATACAGCAGCCACCCT